AATTGTTAAGGAATCAAGGATGATAACAATTGACTAATTGAAATGTTCATTGGGTTACACTGCTGGTAAAACCTACAGAAGAAAAACAATACATTCAATGTGAAACTGTGTACAGGAAGCTTGTTTACTTTATTGTAAGACACAATGAAACAAAAATGTTGTGAATATGAAACGTATTGAAACAACTATACATAGGTGTACCACATATACCACTAATAAATATGTTGATACAACTATACACACACACACACACACACACACCATATTCCGCTTATAAAAATATTGAACTAACTGTACATAAGTATATACCATATTCCACTTATAGACATCTGAAACAACTATACATACGACTACACCATATTCCACTTATAGACATTTAAAACAACTATACATACATCTACACCATATTCCACTTATAGACATCTGAAACAACTATACATACGACTACACCATATTCCACTTATAGACATTTAAAACTGAGATTAAGATTTCAGTTTGTTACAGACCACCAAATGATACTGATGAAATTAGTGAGAAACTTTACAATTGATCTGATACTGAATTTTTACAAGGAGTATAAATGATAGAAGCTTATTTTAATTTTTTTGAGTGATAATATAATAATTCAATAATGATCCACTTAACTCTCTGCACACAATAGCTAATTCTTGCTTGCTGTTGAGTTTTTGCTCATGCCACTAACCTTGAACTATTTCCCACCTAAATCACATGTTTTGACATGAACTGCTTTAGTACTTAATGTAGTCATCCTGCAGCAATAGCCCTTCACTAGTAGAAAGGCAATAGATCCTCCATGCATAGTAGGTCTCCATAAATACTTACACTTGAAATTATCTTTATTCTTAAACTAGGCACTTTTGCTTTTTAATTTTGAAATATTTTGTGCTATATTTGTGATTGATTTAGTAATTTTTATTATTGTAGTTACTGTCTTTTTGACAATTTCTTATGACTTTCATGAAATTTATAATTTTCTCTTCATGGTTTCTGTGTAATTGAGATCTATTCAGGTGTGACACCATTTTCTCTGTAATTCACCTTCCCCAGTTCTCTTTTCCATGGCTTGTGTCTTCCTCCACTCATTTGCCATGAGGTCTTTGGGATGCTCTTGTCACCTTGGAGTCTTGGGCGGAAGTTGTTTGCCATCATTTTATCACTTTTTTTACTCTCTCGTCTTGAGTGTTCCTTGACCCATGTACCCTTGTTATCTCAGCATTTCCTCTTCTCACCCCTCTGCTTCTTCTCACCATACTCTCCTCCCAGAGGATTAGCCTTTGTCTGTTCTGCTGACAGCTACCTCTGTTTGAACCCAGCCTTGGTTCCTATGGGAACACTTCTTTTTTTTTTTCTTTGCTAACCTGTGGACTCACTTCATAGCTGACCCCTGGATCACTCAAGTTTTACCCTTTATCTATCTATTATCTACCTCCTATTCCCCTTTTCCTATTGTTTTTCATCTGTTTTCTGATCTTCAGCACCATTGTCTAAATGACACAATGTCAGAGCTCTTGGCTTTCAATGCCTTAGAGAATGTCACTTGTCCCTCCCTGAGTTACTGTTCCCATCTTTTTGTTGTCCCCCTGAATCCTGGGGACTGATATCCTATCATTGTACTTATCTGAACCACTTCTGATGATTATCCAGTTTCATATGAAGGAGTTTCACCCTCTTAATAGGTTGTTTCCCCCAATCTTTGGATGAAGGTGGTCCATGTCTCAGATGCCTTTATTCACATTCCAATGATCCTGTTGTCACCAAGACATTTCTTTCGATTTGTCCGTCATGATACACTGTACTGGTTTCGAGCCAGGTTATGGGGGCTTTAACTTGCTTCATCCACAGTCTTGGTCTTTGTTTCCATTCCTTTCTGGATACTTGACTACATTTTGCTTCTACTTTTTCTACAGATAAATCCCCTTATCACTGAGAAGCTGTTTGTCTGGGAAGACAGGTCTTAATTTCTTGGTTGTTCCTGACTTTGACTCTATATGTGTTCCACCTCAGAGTCCTTTTCTCTTCACTCCTGATTTGGGCTCATCCTTTTCTATTTTGTTTGCAAATCATGGAGTGTCTGGTTACCCCAGATCTTTTGGTCCCGTATCTCATAACCTACTGTCTGGCTGTGGACACTCTCATCCTGTATTGGTTTCTTCATTTCTGTATGTGTTCCCTGCTATCTACCTAACCCTCATGTGTCTTGTCGATGTTCTGCAACACTCCTTGTGAAGCGCTGTTGGTAGCACGTTATTGGCCAGCTCTCTCTTGGTTTCCTCTTTCTCCAACTTTCTATATTACTCTTTCATTTGGGAATGTTGTCCATTTGTTTTCACACATGGAATTTTCCATTCCTTCCTTAGTGGGCAGTTTCTCATATTGTGTTGCCCTTCTTTTCTACTGTTCAGTTCATCCTTTCACTCGAGGATCTCCAACACAATTGGTGTTTTTATCACAACTGATCCATTAGGCACCCTCTGCCTTTGGGCTGTCCTGTTGTCTATCATTTGGATTTCTTTATCAGGCTTTTTGAACAGAGATTGTCAGTCTGCACCATGGCAGGATATCATGCAGCTGTGTTAGCCATCTTTCACCTTTTTTTTTTTTGCCATTGTTCCATCTTTTCTTTCCCTGTCGTTCTACTTTGTTTCAGTCCTTTCTTCATTTTCCTCATCCAATTTATTTGCTTAATTGGGACTTTCTTGTGATTCTTTACACTTTCATCCGGTACCTGTTTGAACCCTTGGCCAATTGTTCTTTCTCTCACTTTTCCTTGAAGGCTTCTTTCCTTTTTCCTTTGGTTTAAGATCATCAGTGTTCTAATATTTATGCCTTATATGCCTCCCATACTCTGTTCCACACATCTTATACCATTTTGTACCTTAACTGCTCTTTCCTTCCTTACATATAAGCAACTTGGGAGGGTGATGAGTCCTTTTCTTCCAATTCTTTTCCATCATTTTCTGCCCACAATGATTGTTCTAGTCTTGATTGCCTTTTATGTCCCTTCAGGTAATCTAGTTTTGCACTGCTCTCTCTCAGGATGTATTTATCTATTGCTTTGTGACCCCTCTTCATTCATGGATCTTGCGTTAACTACTCTTACCAGTTGGGTTCAGCACTTATCTGGGTTATTTTTTCCTCCTCAGAGGATGACAATCACAAGCTCTACCACTTCACTTCTCATCAGATTCTTACCTTGATTCATTCTGATCTCACTGTTTTGGCAAACATTGGAATAAATCTTACAGATCAGACACACGCACCCTCATTATCTGGTGTTTCATCTTCATCTAGACATATTATCCCTCCAGTTGCCATTCTTCAATTGACTTGTCAAGCTTAGTGGGGTAAGTACCTCATTTATTTCTTTACCCACTTTTAAAAGTAGTCTTATCTCCAGAACCCACCCAGTGGCTAGTGTAGCCTCACAGGGTATACTTGCTTCCCAAATCCACATTGTGTTAGGAGTAATGGAAAGCCCATCTGACCTGATTCCTATGTGACTGTTGTTGATATGGGGTTTTCCTGAAAGACCACTATGATGGTGTGTGTGTGTATGTATATATATATAACTTGATGTCCATTCCAAAGCATATCTTCTATGGAATATCATGTAAAAACCCAGAATCAAGGAAGTGTCTGCCCACTTTTCTGTCTCATGCATGCCAGGTTTTCAAAGTAGGTTTCATGGTAACCCAATGCATTTACTTCACTAAAATACGTTTGCTGTGGTCAGGTCAAATAAATTGGGTCAGGGCACCTTTCCAGAGTCTGGTGATGTGACCCCCCCCCCCCCCCCATGCGGGCAACACAGTGCAGCGGGAAAAAGGGCAGGGGCATTCATGTCAGTGTAGCATAGGTCACTATTATATTTTATGACAATTTCCCAGTTGTGTTGACCAGCCAAATTGGGCAAAAGTGTTTTCATTGGGAGTCAGGAAGGGACCTTTGTCCCAGTAAATTGTACATATAAACACATACCAAACCATATGGCCTGATTATTTCACTACTAGCTACACAATACCTCATGTCCATCTGACCTATTGTGTGCAATAGCTTAGTTGGTCATGCATTTTTTCTGCCCATCCATGTAACACATTGACTTAATTTTGCTTTCCTTCTTTCATACTTCCACCTGAGCAAAGAGAATACTGTGCCTCAGAAATATGCAGTTTCCCACAAGTGTTGCCCCTCTAATAAGCTGCTGCTATTGGATATCATGTTTCATGAGCTTTCACACTTTGATGTTTTCTCTGAAGCATTGTGTGTAGAGAGGTAAGTAGATTGTTTTGAAAGTTAACATTTTCCTTAATTGAAAATGTATTTCTGATAGATACTTACCTCTCTGTACACCTTTTCATCCATCTTCCCCACTACCAGTGTACATTATTCTTATTACATTGTCTAAGAATGAAAATTTCAAGTGCAAGTACTTATGGGGATCTACTGCACTTGGAGGATGTATCACCCTCCTGTTGGTGGACAGCTATTGTCATAAGATGATTAAATCGTGTACTAGCACAGTTCATGTAAAAACGTGATGTGGGTGGGAGATAGTTAAAGGCTAGTGGCATGCACAAAATCTCAAAGGCCGGTGAATGAGGAATAGCTACTGTGTGTAGAGAGGTAAGTATCTGTCAGAAATACATTTTCAGGTAAGGAAAACGTTAATTTCAATGACACACACTTCATTGGGGTATTACAATAATAAAAACAAAATAACCTGGCACCTTATACACTATAAGTTGTCCTACTAATTTCTCTACTATGTGATTTTAGTTTTGTTATTTTTTTCATTTCCTAAAGTTGAGGATGAGTAATGGTAATTTCTTAATGAAATACATGGTTCAGTAAATTTATAGCTGTTCTGTTGGCCATGATATCTTTTTCTTTCATTGTGAAAGATTTTAGTCTAGTTCACTTATCTTTGAAAGCTCAAATTTTAGCTAATTTTATATGGTGAGTTTTTCATATCTTTGTAGATTTGTAAATATTTCTTGGAGGCACTTGAGAATAACAAGTATGGTTGGTTCTGGGACTGCCCTAATGGAGGAGACAAGTGTCATTACCGACATGCTCTGCCACCAGGTTTTGTTCTCAATAAAGACAAAAAGAAGAACCAAGAAAAGAAAGATGAAATTTCCATTGAAGAACTTGTAGAGAAAGAGGTTTGTTCAAGTATTGTAAAATTTATTTATATTCACTCGGATCTCTCCTTAAAAATAAACAAAAGCTTAGAGATAATAAATTAGTGAGATAACCAACTGGAAAACTTAATGTCCTGGAGTGTTTATGTTCACTGTAGATTATGTATGAAAGCATATATTTTAAACAATTTTATAGGTTGACATCATCACAATACTATGGAAATTGGGATGTGTATCTTATTCAGGAAAGTATTTGTATCAAATGTAATGCTTATTATTATTTTACCCGTCAGGTTTTGCTGAGAAGGGATAGGTTAGATTTTAATAATTGTTGTAAGAAAAAGTCTTTAAGATGTAAAAGAATTAGGAGAGGCCTTCTCCAGTTCTTTGAGAACTAATGAAAAGAAATATTTTAATTTACAGAAACCAGTATATTAAGAAGACTTAACAATATATGTTTCCAAATTTCTTAAAATATCTTTTCTTAATTAATGACCTTTCTGAACACTGCAATGTGAATATTATTTCATGTCTAATTTTGAAGACAGTTTTGTAAAATTTAATGTAAATTTTAGCACATTAGTGGCACTCTGCAGCTTAAATAATGATGAATAAATTTTTTATGTAAACTAAAAAGAATTTTACATCAGTCTGAAACTCCAATTACATTTCCTTATAGGACCATAACATAAAATCCACTGGTTTATTAGATAAATTACTCTGCTCTGATTAACCGTAAAATGAGTTAGTGATTGAGATGTTACTCTTATTCACCAGGGGAGAATGCATCATCAAGATGAAATAGTTTATACCTGTTATTGTAAGTTGCCCCATAAAACTTCTCTTTTCTACTTCTTAAAGCAGAAGTGTTAACAAATAATGATTGAGAAATCAAAATTTTACTTGGCTATAGGTCTGGCCACTCATATCAAGAGCAAAATTAAACCATTGAATTAAAAATAATATAGAAAATAAACTTGTAGTTATTCCTCCACTCATTTAAAAAATACTTTAGAATTGAAATGTATGTATTCAATAAAGTTCATTATGAGATACTACTATTAAGGTAAATAAAATAATGCCCTGTATCTCCAGAATGTTTCTTTATTGGCTCAATATTTTGCTGTTACAGCTTTATCAGGAGCTATCAGTATTCTATAAATCCACTAATCTAGGTGAAACTGGATTAGTGAACTCGTAGAATGCTGATAGCTCCTGAAAAATCTCCCAATAGGATAACAGTAAGTCTACAGACTTACACTGCTTAAATCTGGGGTTCAATTCCCCACAGTGGACACAGCAGATAGCCCAATGTGACTTTGCTCTAAAATAACCAAGCTCCTGAAAAGCTGTGATAGCAAAATGTCAAGATAATAAAGATACATTCTGGAGATATAGGTCATTATTTTATTTACCTTAACCCTCTGCAGACAGATCAAAGGCCATGTCTTTGTGTTTGTTGACTAATATTTAAAATTTTATTGAACTACTATTTCATGAATTTATGTCAATAAGTTTGGTATCAAACTGTAGATTATAAGTCAAATTTTAGTATTGTACATTATTTAATTTCTTAACTTAAAAGTAAATATTTTAAAAACACAGTTAAATATCGATTTTTGTGTGTCGCGTGGTATGTTGAATGCAGCACTGGTTCAAATTAGATGTTTGTGATGTCAAAATACTAAGTCTGTAGTTTCATATGAATTAGGAACTAAAACTACCAATATTGACAAACTAGAATATAAAATAAGAACCTCATATCTTTTCTGTTTCCTGGGATATCTCTCATGTAATGAATCAAACACGGTGGCCCCGCTTACCTGTTTCTATTTATATACACTTCAATATATAACGTGAATAACCATTCAAAAGCAAAGAATGTCCCCCTAGTGGCTTTCTCAGCCATTTTCATATGTTGGGACACCATCTCTTTCTTTTGAACCAATATTTCAAGGAGGTAGGTTATGTCTTTAGTCTGCTCGAAATTTCATATTTTTGTTTCATGAAAGACATGCAATTTCAGGGCCATTTCCCAAATGTGTTGTCTTGGGTTAGACTCAACAAGCGTCTTCA